GCAAGTATGCTCCAAATCATTTGCACTAAGGAAATACTTATCAAAACTATAATGAGATACTGCCTCACACTCGAAAGGATGGTCATGATAACCTTTAAACTGGAAAATAACAAGTAATGGTGACTATATTAGTTTGCTAAAGCAGCCATAACAAAGTACCATGAACTGAGTGGCTTAAGCAACAGAAATTTACTACCTCACAGTTTTAGATGTTAAAAGATAAACTGAGGCACCTTAAAAATTTTGAGTTTATCTGAGCAAAAATTGATTTGAATCAATTGGATCTACAGCATCCAATCTAGCAGATAGAAGGGACCCTCTAAGGAGCTGTACAAAATGAAAGGCCTTCATAGACAGAATGCAATGGGAAGAAGGAAGTTACAGCAGCAAAAAGCAGATTGGTTCTAGCAAGGTTCTTTTCCTTTGGGGATGGCGGAAGTCTATCTAGTGCTGATGAGGTGAGTCCTGATTGACTGGTTTAAGATTCCATTTCTGCGAGAGCTGAAACTAATTAAGTTAAGCCTGTTTGGTTGACATGGGGCTCAGTATAAGTGACTCCACTGTGGGTCTTGCTTTTATTTTTATTTTTTTAAACATTTCTTCTTTTTTTTTTTAATTTATTTATGATAGTCACACACAGAGAGAGAGAGAGAGGCAGAGACACAGGCAGAGGGAGAAGCAGGCTCCATGCACTGGGAGCCCGACGTGGGATTCGATCCCGGGTCTCCAGGATCGCGCCCTGGGCCAAAGGCAGGCGCTAAACCGCTGCACCACCCAGGGATCCCTGGGTCTTACTTTTAACAGAAGCTACAAGTCCAAGATCAAGGGGTCAGCAGGGCAGCCATGCTCCCTCTAAAGGGGCTGGGAAGGATAGGTCCCAGGCTTCTCTATAGTTTCTGGTAGTTGCTTGGTCTGTAGCAGCCTGACTCCAATCTTCACATGGCATTCTCCTTGTGTGCGAGTCTGTGTAACCAGATTTCTCCTTTTCATAAAAGACTCCTGTCATATTGGACAAGGGGTCCAATTTACTCCAATATGACCTCATCTTTACTAATTACATATGCAATAACCCTATTTCCAAAGAAGTTCACATTTTATGAGGGACTCTGGGATTAGGACTTCGACATACGAATATTGGAGGGACATAATTCAACCCATAACGCCAAGGATGAGGAGAAATTGGACACTCATACAGTACTTTTGGGAATGTAAAACAGTACAGCCACTTTGAAAAACAGTCTGGCAGTTTTTCAACATGTTAAACATAAAGTTACCATATGATCTAGCAATTCCACTCCTAGGTACATATCCAAGGAAATGAAAACATATGTCCATACAAAAAATTATATACAAATATTCATAACAACATAACTCATAAAAGCCAAAAGGTGGAAACAATCCAAATGTCCTTCAATTGATGAATGGATAAACAAAATGTAGTATTATCACATCACAGAATATTATTTGGCAATAAAACAAATGAAGTACTTAAACTTACATATTATATCAATTATATCTCAATAAAAAAGTTAAATGAGTACTGACACATGACTCAGCATGACAGCATGGATGAACCTTGAAAACGTTAAGTGAAAGATGCAGTCATAAGCAACCACATAATGTATGATTCCGTTTATAAGAAATGTCCAGACTTGGCAAATTTGCAGAGGCAGAAAGTACACTGGGTGCTCAGGACTGGGGAATTATGGAAAGTAGGGGGAAGCGACTTTTAATGGATACAAGGTTTCTTTCTGGAGTAATGAAAATGTTCTGAAATTGTGGTGATGGTTGTTCAACTAAGAATACACAAAGTTTAACTGTGTACTTTCAATGGGTGAATTTTATAGTATGTGAACTTTGTTTATAAAGCTGTTACCAGGGGAACCTGGGTGGCTCAGGCGGTTAAGCACCTGCCTTCAGGTCAGGTCACGATATCGGGGTCCTGGGATTGAGCCCCCCAGTCAGGTTCCCTGCTCAGCAAGGAGTCTGCTTCTACCTCTCCCTCTGCCCCTCACCCTCCACTTGTGCTCATGAGCATGGTCTCTCTCAAATAAATAAAATCTTAGAACAAAAAGCTGTTATTAAAAAATAATAAATAAATAAGAATAAATAAACTTCTCATCATGAAAGAAAAGGAAGAAAGGGGAAGAGCATTCCAGTAAAAAACAATCACCAGAAGGTGAGTTCCAGAATGGCAGCAATTTTTGCCAGTTTTGTTCACTACTGTACTCCCAGTACCAAAACAATGTCTGGCAAATAGGTATAGTATGTATACTCACATATTATTTATAGTATATAGTATAATATAGTTACAAGTGCAAAAGTCTTGCAGCTGGCTCAGTCAGTAGAGCATGCAACTCTTGATCTTGGGGTCATGAGTTCAAGTCCCATGTTGGGGGTAGAGCTTACTTTATAAAATAAAAAATAAAAAGCCCTGTATCCGGAAAAGAGCACTGGCCTCTGGAGAAAAAGATCAGCGTGTATGTGACTGCAATGACACTGAAGAGGACAGTTGGACCGTGTAGGTCAGAGATTTAGACCTCAATCCTAAAAGCAATGGGGAGCCACTGAAGGATTTTAAGTGGAGGTGGAGCAGATTTACATTTTAAAAGACCCTACCAGTAGCAAGGGAGAGTCGTTTAAGGTAAAGACTGAAAAGTTGGATTTAGCAACACAGAAGTTGTTGGTGACCTTGGACAAAATCAATCCAGGTAGAGACGGGGTGACTAATTTTGGGAACTGGAAAGGAAGTAGAGCTGGCAAAATTATACTACACTTGGTAAGACCTCTCCATATTCACAAGTCTCCAAGGAAACCGACCAAAAATACACTTGGCTTGGGAAATAACAAAAGACATGTTCACATGAATATTCACACACAGCCGGTTCGCCAGCTGATTCTGTTTCTGTTCAAGGATTCCACACTTCTCACCCTGACCCAGAGGGGAACCCATGGCCACAGTTCTTCGTTCTCTCCCACCAGATGCTGGCTCTTCGTTGCTGGGAGTGATGGATATAAGACCACAGAGAAAACTGCTGTCATCTGAGACTTGGGGGCATTTCAGAGACATAACTTGTCCCTTTTTAGCTTCACTGGGCCTCTCACCCAGACTATGTACAACCCAGAACCCAAGGGCAAGCCAAGTAGACACACTCACAGCCTGTTCACTAAAGACTAAAGGTGAAACTTTTGGAATAGGGCACTTGTCCATAGTGTGGCCAGATGTCTGAACTGAGAACCAAAGAGGCTGGGTTCTAGGTCTCGCTCTGCCAGTCACCAGAGCAAAGCCTTGGGAAAGCATTATAATCTCTCTGGGCTTCCACGTGCTCCTCTCAAATATTAAGAGAATAAACACATGCCCTGCCCTGACCAGAGTGGTTAGGAGATGAGAACTGTGCAAGGGCATATCTAGATTTTGTGGGGCCTGAAGTTTCTATCATTTTGCGGGACCCCTTTAAGAATATAAAATTATAAGAACAAAATTAGGTACGCATCTGAAAATATATTTAGAATGAGAAATTACATCAAACTGTAACTGTTAAAAAGGTAATACAAAAAAAAATCAAAACATTTTTTTTAAATTACACATTTGGGGACGCCTGGGTGACTCCTCGTCTGCCTTTGGCTCAGGGCGCAATCCCTGGTCCAGGGGATCGAGATAGAGTCCCACATCAGGTTCCCTGCAGGAAGCCTGCTTCTCCCTCTGCCCGTGTCTCTGCTTCTGTGTCTCTCATGAATAAATAAATAAAATCTTAAAAAATAAAATAAAATAAAATCACATATTTGTCAGGGCACCTGGTGGCTCAGTCTGTTGAGCCTTAGACTCTTGGTTTCTGCTCAGGTCATGATCTCAGGTCGTGGGGTCAAGCCTGTGTGGGGCTCACTTTCAGCACAATGTCTGTATGAGGTCCTCTCCCTTTCCCTCTCCCTCCCCATCTGTCCCTCTCTACCACTCTGTCTCTCAAATAAATAAATAAAATTTTTAAAAAAATCACATATCTATCTGTCAAATTAATTGCCTGGTATATCACCATCCATTTTTTCCCCCACTACATTTTTTTTTTTTTGGTTACATATTCTTTAACGGTTTCCTCAAAGATAACAATTTCATAATGTTCTCTATGGAGAGAACAGGAAAATAATTCAGTCTTTCTCTCTCAGGGTTGATCAAAATTTATTATTGCCAGTTCAAAAAAAAAAATACTTTCAGCATCTCAACTCATGATTTTACAACAGTTCTCAAATTTGGGGAAATCTCTATCAAGTTTCTTTTCTTTATGAGCTAAAGGATTTCAAGGAATTTCACATTTTCTTGTGCAGTTACTAATCATTTACATCTCCTCATTCTTCTGGTGCTGGACACACTAGGAACCAAGGACCTCTGGTACCTTCAGGCCACCATGCTTGTAATTCTGCACAGTGGGGGTTAGGAGTATTCTAGAAGCCGCTCCCACACCAGGAAGGCTAGCAATAACTTAACTATATACACAAACTGAATATATGGATCCCACTTAACTCAAATTAGGAGTATTCTCTACTCCAGGGGCACCTGGGTGGCTCAGTGGTTGAACATCTGCCTTCGGCTCAGGTCGTGACCCCGAGGTCCTGGGATCGAGTCCCGGATCGGGCTCCCTGCAGGGAGCCTGCTTCTCCCTCTGCCTGGGTCTCTGCCTCTCTCTCTCATGAATAAATAAATAAAATCTTAAAGAAAAAAAAAGTATTCTTTACTCCAAAATGCCTAAAAATGCTCATGGCTACTTCAGCGCCCCCAGATAGGGAAGCCGTACTGAAAAGAGACCACTAGTGGTCTTAACAGACTTGGATTAAAATAGCCTACTGCTTCTAATTTTATAAAAACACGACTTCTTCCAGGGCCTTAGAGGGGGCCCGGGTGCGTGAAGGCCCAGGGAATGGAGATGCTTTAGCGTCGGGGACAAATGAGCTCCGTGGTCACAGAGTCTCTCCAAAAGGCGGAGCCAGAGGCAGGGAACGTTACTCACGTTTGCAGGGAAGCTCAGCGGCCAGGCCCGCGTGGCTCGCAGCTCGTGGCCGGCCCAGGCTGCGGCCACTGCCAGCCAAACCCCACGCGGAGGTCTCTGCGGACCCACCCGCCCTCCGCGCCCGCTCTGCGGCCCCCACTCGAGGCCCAGAATGGCCGGGACCTCCAGCCCAGCATCCCGCTCCGATGCGCGCCTCCGCCGGTTTCAAAAGGAGCGCGCTCTCTCGGGCCCGCCCCTCACTTCCGGTCCCACCGGGTCTCGCGATATCGCGACTCCTCATCCCCGCCCCCTACAGCCCCGGAGGGCGGCGCCCGCCGGTGCCCCGCAGGTGACTCTCCCTGGCTGGTGTCTGGGACCAGGGCTCTTCGCCCGGCACGTTTCCCAGCAGCACGGACCCGGCAGTTAAGGCGCACTTAGGTTCATCTGGCCCCCAGCGGAGATCAAGAGCGGAGGGGGGAGGGGGGTCCGCCTTCCCCCCGCTGGGATCAGGAGCCGAGGGGGTCCGCCCTCCACCTGACCCTGCTCTGGGTCCGCGCATGCGCGGGACGAGGACTCTAAAATGTGAGCGACTGCGGGACCCTGGGCTGCACTGCGCACGCGGTCTGGTTTAGCCCCCACCCCAACCCCGGGAGGAAGGCGTGCTCTCTACCCTCGTTATAGCGATGGGGAGCCTGCAAGGATGTGACCAGTCTGACCGGAAGGCTTCAATCCTTGGGGAAGCAGTTTGTCAGCAGGTTCCTCCAACCCCCAGATTCCCAGAGGACAGTGCAGCTCAGTGAGCAGGATTCCACCTTTAGGGTCACACCGACTTCGTGTTTGTATGAAAATCGACACCCCTTCCGTGCTGTGGGACCTGGAGCAACTGGCTTAACCTTTCTGACACTCAGGTGATAGATGGGGATAATAATACCTCATGGGATCATGAGGATCAGAGGTATATTCGGTGCCTACTCCCAAATAAGCATTCAATAAATGGAAACTATTGTCCTTGATAATCCTTTTATCCCCTTACGCGTCCTACAGTGCTCAACGTGTAGGAGATGCTTAATAAACCATTAGTGAATCAGTGAACAAGTGAATGAATGGAGGGAGAAAGGAGTAAGCCAGGCCAGACACCAGGTGGTCCCGGCCTCCAGCCCACTAATCTCTTACCCTCTTCCCCCCACTGTGGCTACACCTCAAAGGGCTTGAAGTGGGAAATAACTGTTCATCCTCCTTTCCCCAAACAGTTGTGTGTATGTTCACTTGTTATTAAAGAAGCATACAGAAAAGTGCACAGATCTTAAGTGCGCTTAAGTTCTTATGGTATAGCCAGCTCCCTGATGAAGAAGCAAAACATTACCAGCCCCCAGAATGCCCTTCATGTTTCCTTCTTGTTTTCTTTTTTAATTTTGTTAAGATTTTATTTATATAAAAAAAAGATTCTATTTATTTATGCATGAGAGACACGCAGAGAGAGGCAGAGACAAAGGCAGAGGGAGAAGCAGGCTCCCTGCGGGGAGCCCGATGTGGGACTCGATCCCAGGACCCTGGGATCAGGACCTCCTGAGCCAAAGGCAGACACCCAACCGCTGAGCCGCCCAGGTGCCCCATGTTTCCTTCTAAGCATATATCCGCCCTAGAGTAACAGTTATCTTGCCTTCTACTAGCAGACATTAGTTGTGCTTGTTTTTGCATGGGATGCACCTGGAATCAGATAGCATGTGCTAATCTGCACCACTCAGATTTCCATGTCTCCTCGCTTCCAGTGGGAGTCCAGGAAGAAGCCGGATGGGGTTGAGTCCCGTGTGATCAGGGCTCCTGCCTGCTGCCACCCATCTCGACATCATGGCTAGCCTCTCTACCTGTTCACTGGCCCAGGATCCCTGTGCCCATGGACTCCTGGCATACCTCTCCCTTTCTGAGGTAAGAAAGCATCTTCTGCTTCCTCTCAGCTGTTTCATAAGGGTTCCCATGGTAGAAATGTGTGTGTCCCTGGTGCCTCCATCTTTGCCATTATACCCCAGATCTTTCCTACTCCATCAGGAAGGCCCTGGGAAAGTGGAGGATGGGAGTGGAGGATGTGGCTCCATACAATATGAAGCCACAATATGGTCATGCCCAGCTTCACACCACTCCGAGTAACACTCCTTCCTCTGCTTTGTTCAGTGTGCCCCTTCCCCCTCCATTTCTCATTCAGGGTGATAAGCTCTCGAGGTCCCTGCTGTTCCTCCCTGCAGTCTAGCATCTGTCACATTCCCTCAGCCCACTAGACATGTTTGTTCCTTCCCTAATCCCAACTGAGGGCATGGTGTTTGTCCTCTTACAAAGGATTCCTGATGCCATTCAGATTGAGGAAGGTGGTTTATGGGTTCTGGGCCTTCTGCCTCGAGGGGGCAGTGTCTCCTAACACCACAAGACAGCCCAGTCCTTAGTCCAGTCAAAAAGCCCCATTACACAGATATTATTATCAAACCCATGTTACATATGAGGAGGGTAAGGCTCAGAGAAGTTTAAGGGATTTGTCCAAAACCATATAGTTCATAACTGATGACAAGTAGACCTCAGGAGTGCCATTTGATGTAGGTCTAGAAGGCTTGGTATCTGTTACCACTCAATGAAACTAAAATGAGACACGTGGATATTTTACATAATTCATATCTAGTCCTTAACTCCAGGAGAAAGTTTTTTTTTTAATTTCCATATGCCAGATATAGAAGCTGAGGTCCAGAGAAATTATTCTGCCCAAGGTCACAGGGACAGAGACAGACTAAGCTAGGATTCAGCCCGTCCCATCCCACAGACTGACCTCAAAGCCCGGCTCTTTCCTCTGTGCTCCACCACACTCATCAAAGGGATTCTGGCAAATGCAGATATGAATGGATACATGGATAATATAGAACAGTGGGGACTAGGTATTTACCCAAAGAATACAAAAAATATTAATTCAAAGGGATACATGCACCCTGATGTTTACAGCAGCATTATTTACAACAGCCAATTATGGAAACAACCCAAGTGTCCATCAACTGAAAAATAAAGATGTTGCACGTGGAATATTATTCAATCAAAAAAATAATGAAATCTTGCCATATGTAACAACATAGATAGCGCTGGAAAGTATAATGCTAAGTGAAATAAGTCAGAGAAGGACATATACCATATGATTTCACTTATATGTGGAATTTAAGAAACAAAACAAAGAGCAAAGGGAAAAAAAGGAGAGAGAGAGGCAAACCAAGAAACAGACTCTTGGGATCCCTGGGTGGCGCAGTGGTTTAGTGCCTGCCTTTGGCCCAGGGCGTGATCCTGGAGACCCGGGATCCAGTCCCACGTCGGGCTCCCTGCATGGGGCCTGCTTCTCTCTCTGCCCCTCTCCCTCTCCCTCTCTCTCTCTCTCTCTCTGTGTGTGTGACTATCATGAATAAATAAATAAAATCTTTAAAAAAAAAAAAAAAGGAACGGACTCTTAACTATAGAGAACAAACTGCTGGTTATCAGAGAGGAGGTGGGTGGGGGAATAGAGGAAGTAAGTGTTGGGGATTAAGGGGCACGCTTGTCATGATGAGCACCAGGTGTTGTATGGAAGTGTTAAATCACTGTATTGTACACCTGGAACTAATATTACACTGTATGTTAACTAGCTGGAATTTAAATAAAAGTCTAAAAAAAATAAGACAGTGGGAAAGCATTCCAGAGAGAACAAAACATATACCACAAAGGGACAGTTTTGCTTCTCTATTAATGTGTAAACCCCCACAACTTAGTGGCTTAAAATCACAATTTATTTTTATCTTTCACAGTCCTGTGGTTGACTCCACTCAGCTGGGTGGCTCTCGCTGGGAGCCTGCCATGCAGTTGCAGTCAGATGGAAGCAGCAGTCATCTGAAGGCTCATCTGGGCTGGATGTCCAAGGTGGCTTTTTAAAAACAGAAATCTGACACCTCATCTGAACTGGTTGGACCAGATGGGGACTGGCCAGACATTCCTCTCTCTCTAGATAGTCTTTCCATCTGGCTTGCTGAAGTTTTCCTTGTAGATGGTGATCTCAGGTATTCAAACCTCATACATGAGTGGTGGCTGACTTTCCCCACCATGAATATTCCGACAGGCGACCTCCCTTTGGAATTCATGCAGCATCACTTCCACAGTATGCTATGAGTGAAAATGGATCACAGGGATGGCCCAGATTCAAGGGGAGGGGACAATTCATAGGTGAGAGTACAGGAAGCATGCCTGGTTCAATGGGGACCATCTTTGGAGATCAGCTAGACAGAGGGCCAAGGCGGGAATGATCAACTCAGGAACTGCATATATTCCTGTCTCAGCAGAAACCGGGGTGCAAAGGAGCAAAACTGGAAGTGATGGCTTGTGACATACCATGGAGAGGTTCAATGACATGCTCCAGAACCTCTAAAAGGGTACCTTCTGGGGTCTTTAGCTGCCTAGCACCTAAGCCTCCTTCCTTTTTTGGAGGATCCTCCTTTGTGAAGGTGTTAGTGGGAGATCAGGATCCCCATCCTTGACCCCTGATAGGAAAGTCACAGAACTGTGACGTCAGAACTATGCCAAATCAATGATCCCACTTGCGACTCTGATCAGTAAGTGATCCAAGGAAGCAGAGGACTGTTTATAATTCATTCTAGTGGCAGCAACAGCCAGTTCTCAGGGTAGTGGCTGTGCAAGAGAGGACCTCCAGAGCCCAGGGGCGGGAGTCCCCTAATCAGACTGCCCTTAAGGCAAGACCTGACAGAGGTTCTGGCTGCTTAGTTCCTCTTGATTCCTGCCTACTTCCTGACACGGATTCTGGAGGCTTCCTGTCAATTTTGTGAGTTTTCTGATATCATTCCAGTAAATTCCTCTTCTACTTAAGTAAACCAGAGTCCATTTCTGTTGTTTGCAATTAAGAACCCTAATCGGCACAAAGACCCATTGAAATCTTTAGCCAGAGGAAATGACATGATCAGAGCACTTTATGGAAGAGAAAAACAGAAAAATCTGATAAGGATGGATTGAAGAGAGAGAAACAGGGATGAGAGAGGCCAGTTGGGAGACCGTTGTGATGTTTGGGGGTGTATGGTGAATTACAATATTTCCAGTGCCAAGGAAGTGGGAGAAATGCAGCTTTTGGCCACTGACTGAATATGGAAAAAAGGAGAGAGGGGAAAATCCACACTGACAGAGTTTTGAGTCTTAGCAACAAGGAAAATAATAAT